TGCCCAGCTCCTCCTCAGCTTGGAGGGCGCTAAACTTGTTCTTCAAGGGTAAGTCTTGAGGAGGAGCAAGAGCCTTTCTCCTTCTACGAGAGGTCACCAGCTTCCAGCCCTCTTCAACAGTGTTATGATGCACCTTTACACACAGTACAAAGCCCTCTGACAACTCCGCTGCAGTGGGGGCAGGGGACTCCTGGAGCTGAACAGTCTCTGAGAACGCCCTGTCAATCTCCCGCTCATCCTCTCGGATGCTACGCAGGCTACTGACTTCCTCCTGTAACTCCTTTATCTGGTGATGCAACTGGTCAACCACAGCACCTCATGCAGGAGAGCTGACTGTCAGCCCAGGCCTCACGGAGAGGCCCCAGGCACTCCCTGCAGCCTGACCCCTGCAGAGCTGCATCTGCTATCAGAGGGTCTGTGTGGGTTGAAGCCTCAGACACAGCTGATGCAGCACCTCCAGCAGCCACTGGGGAACGTGCTCTGTGGTGTGTCATGACCATGCCTGGGGAAGGACACACCACTGTGCAAAATGAAGGTATCTTCTTTGCCTTCTGGTACCCTTCTGTGCGAACTGCTGCGCACACTGCTGCATCTGTTTGCTGCCTGTGTTTGCTGCAACAAAACAGAATAGAAATTGAAACTGATAGCAAGTCGCTTGCTCTCTTGTTCTCTCCAGCAGTTCACCTTTACAGAAGGTGAAGGAAGGAGAATTGGAAATAGTCCCTCTTACTCTAGAGGAAAGCTAAAGTAGATGCTTGTCCTTTCTCTTGCAAGTCAACTTTTTGACACAAGAGATCCATGCTTTCGTTCAGCAGACCCAGTTTGATGACGTCAATGCATTCTTCACAGCAGGAAAAAAATTCATTTTTCAAACAGACCAAGCATTTCCTTAGAATGGAAAAGCAAATTGGCTGGATGCCTGGTGGCTCTCACAGCCAATCACTATAACCTTACCATAAATGTAGATGTGTTTCTATCTTAGAGATGATTATTTGACTTTATTTTAGCTATGGGACTGTCCTGTCCCAGTCCTCTGTGTGTGTGTACTCTACCCATGAGTGTTGAGATCCTGAATGTTGCATTATTCAGCAAACATTTTGTAGCTCACTTAAAAATTTGACTTTGTGACTTGATATGTTGTAAATGCATCTCTTTGAAATGTTTTGCAGATGCTGAGCTCTGCCTCCCTCCAGAACTTGCAGTGGACAGCTTAGCTTCAATGGTTGGCCCATGGTACTCTTTCTTTTTTCAGGTTAGCTGCTCTTAGTCATAATGTGAGGATAGTATTACTAAGATTATGCTCTATGGTTGCAAAACTTGGTGTAAAGCAAATGCTGCTGTCAGATGTGTAACAGATGAACTGTAAAAGCTCTTGAGATAATGTGCTTGGGAGACTAGATTATCCAGAGGTGAGTAAGGAAGAGTTTAACCCTGTTCCCTCAGGGAGTGCCTGGACAGAGCCTGGCTGGTTTAGTCTGTGCATTGTATTAGTTTCCTGCAATTGTGAGTTAGATCCAAGGCTGAGTCTAGGAGGATGAGGGAGGAAAGATCTGTAGAGAAATATCTGGAGTTGAAAGGTAAATGATACTTAAAAGAGGTCTTTGGTTTTGTTTTTAACCTTAGATCTGAAGATGGCAGTAAGAGGTGCACCAGATGGCTTTATTTCAGATGTAGACTAAGTCACACTGAAACTACCACCCTTCAAGTAAAAAGGTTCGCAAATTTTTAGAGTTTACTAGGGCAAATATTATTTAAGGTCGGGCAGAGAGGAGAACCTAAAGGAAGCATTTTGAAAGATCTCTTAGCTCACTTCAGTTGGTCAGAATTTATGAAACTGTATTAAATACTGTGTCTTTTGGTATTTAGTTCTGCCACTCTTTGCTTTGTTCTGCCATGCTATTGTATTTAGGATATCATCTAACAAGTGAGATTAGCACTCTTGGAAGAAAACAATGCCTTGTGGCTCAGACTCCAAACTCTCTTGTTTTTCTGATATTGCTTAACCTTTGAAATTATTTGTGGGGAGGAAAGTGTTATCCCTCCCACTAACGTCTCATATGCAATTCAGCGTCCTCTGACACATCAAACGCTCTTCAGAGAGAACAGGATGCAATGTTCTCACTCTGAATGTGCGTCTCCCAGGCAGTGATGTGTGCTTTTAACTAGGGCTTGTGCTTCAGGTAGATATCAAGAACAAAATTCTAATAGAGGGGGTTGTTGTGGTAGGGGCAAGATTTGAAAGTCTCCTTGAGGGTGGTTGGGCTGTCACTGTTACTTGCCGTTACTTGCCTTCACCTGCTTACTCACTTCTCCCGGACGTCTGCACAAACGGACGTGAGGCCTGGGTAGATCATGCAGCTACATGAGTGAGTCATATCTTCTCTGCATAGTCAAGCTTGTATGACTGTAAAGCAAATGAAAGGAGTATGTAATACAGACTAATTTATATTTCTATCAAAAAGCAACTGATTGTTCTCTGTCATTGGTTCTCATCAGCAGTTAAATGATGGGCTTGGAAAACTGTGCGTCTCTAGGGGTGACCATAACAAAATGGGATACGCTAATGTTTGCTTTTGATGAAGCTGTCTGTTAAGTTCCCGGATAAGATGCTGGTGATAATTTTCAGCTGAATCACTTGTCAAATACTTATTTGAAGCCAACTATTTCAGAAGAGGAATTGTTTCCACCCTGCATGGTAGCTGCCTCTCTCCTTCGCTCAGCCAGCTCAGCCTGTCTCATGCAGGAGCTGGAGTCAGGACAGGGAGCCATAGAAGAGTAAGGAGCATTTATGTTTCTTGGTCCCTGAGGTGGGCAGGAGAGAGTCTGGCACCAGTCTAGGCCACATCTTTAACAGTTACACCTTTCCCATGCATTTCTCCCAGTACTCCCCTACCCAGGGCTCCTCAGAAGCCCTGCAGTCTAATGTAGCCTGTCCAGAGGAGAACAGTTCCTCAGGTCTGCGTGAGAAATGAAGAGGGTCTTATATCCCTTTGCTGTAACAATTAGTAAACTGCAATTGTCTTACCTTTTTGAGGTAGAGGTCCTGGACTAGATTCTCAGCTCTCATTTGAATCACTTCAATGAGCCAGAATTTTACCCTTGGGGTCAATGGTAATTTTACTGTAGACTTGAGGGAGGCTAAGGTTTCACTGCATGTGCACAAGGCGGATGTAAAGATATTTTTTATCAGTAACTGGGGACTTCCCTCCTCTGGGAGACAGGGCTGGCTGCCAGCTCCTTTTCCCTCAGGCTAGCAAAGGGTGCCAGGCCTGCGTGGCCCTTCCCATATACCGGTGCTTGGAGCATGCCAGCTGGGGCGTAGTAAGGGCCGTTGTCGTGTTGACTTTGTTCCTTGCTCTCCCAGCTATCGTTTCACAGTATGTGAATGACCTGGCGCAAAACCCCACATGTTGTTTCCTGACCTACCTGGAAAACGGGATCTAACCAAAAAAAAAAAAAAAAGTCTGCACGACAGTAGCTATAAGTTATTAAAATCAAGCTAAGAAGGAAGGTTTAGCCATGATGGAAACAGCAGCTTGTATTATATAAGCTGAGAAAAAGAAAACAAATGTTAGTCCTTTTCCCAGGTGTGGTTCTCTTCCCCCCGATCCCCTACCCAGATTTAGGAGAGGACCAGGCTGTTTGCAGTGTAAGTGGCACTGGGGTTTTAATGGTGCCAATAGTATACCAGCACTGCTTTATTTAAATATGATTCAGCAAGTAGGATGTGTTTATACTGAAGACCTGCTAATTACATAATTTTTGTCCTTGTATTAAACAATATGTTCATGCTATATAACACAGACTGATCAGAGTGTGCAAGAAAGATTTATATTATGTTGAAGAGGTCTGAGCATTTGACCTTGTAAGTGAAGTCTCAGAGACAGCTAAATATAATGCAGTAAGTAACAGGTTGTAATTAGGAAGATGGAAGAGAGGTACTTCTGTAGATGCAGTTCTGTATCCTGATGTGGAAATTGTCCAGGCATTTTCAGGATGTTTGGGCAACAGTGTTTTGCAGCAGTGAAGGGCGTTATTAAGTATATTCAAGAAGTTATTAGTGAGGAACTGAAAGAGAAACCTGGGAAGTACCCACAGGAGTGACAGATGGTAGAAACGGTATCTCTAAGACTGAGATATACAGAGCCTTATATTTTGTTTAGTGTTGTTACTGACTTGCAAGAGGAACAGAACATGAACCAGCAGGTTTTATGATTTTCTACCTGTATGTGCTTGGGATACTACTGAAGTCCTGAAAATCTCTGTGAAAGCAGGCACATGTTAACTTCATCTATGGAGTGGCGAGCTGTGTGTGGTGAGAGTTGAATCTATACCAGTCTCTATATGGACACTATATGTGTATGTGCAATACAAAACAATATCTGTCATCTTAGCCTTATTAAGAAAAGGATCAAAAAGCAGTGAAAGTCAGTGAAGACTCTAGCTGGACTGCAGGCAGATTCAACCTGAATCATCCCCTCCACAGCTTGTGGGGGCCAGAGCTTTGCCATTGATTCCAGTGGAGCAACAGTTGGCTTTGGAATGGAGCAAAGCTTTGGAGAATTCTGGGGTTTCTCTTAGCTCCAAAGGTGGTTATATCTGTTTTGGAAATGTGTGTGTCCAAGTCTTTCCTACAGTCATAAAAGGAAAACAGGGCAAAATATTACTCTTTGGTCTGATAGGGAATTTGAACAAAAAATTAAAGGTGGGCATGTAAAACTGGTTTTGTGGAAGAGGGAAAAGAGCATTTGGCTGGAAAATGCTGGCACACCTTCAGAAAACCAGCCAGGTTATTAAACAAAGATGGCTTATTATCTTGTATTTTTCCATAGTTCTCATAACTGTCTGTAAGAAAGAGGAATAAGAGCCTGACTAACATAACTAAGATGCATCTGCAAAGTGAAGACAAAAATCCTGCCCGTGTCAGTCTTCTTGTGAGATTGAACATTGTTTGTGGAGAGGTTTATGAACTGGATGTGCTGAAGCATGAATAATAGCAGTGTGGTAAGTGTCTCCTGGGTAAGTGACCATCCATCATCAGCTGTCTGGCTTCTGTAGCACTGCTGTAGAAAACAGGAGGGTCTTTGACTGACACTGCACACATGGCAGAAGAGACAGCGCTGGTGAAGTCCTGTCCTTGCTGCAACCTGTGGTGAGTTAGCCATCACTTAGCCGGGTATATTTGTCTGCACCTTGTTTTCGTCAACCTAAATGATGTTGAGCTAAAGTGCTGTGGATGGGGGTAGGGATCCCTTTGCACAGATCAGAGGGACAAAGATTTCTCTCAAGGCTTCATGTTACAAACAGCATTCTGATGGGGAGGGCTCCATTTTATATTGAGCAGTGACTAGCTGAAGTGACTCATGGTTTGCAAAGGAACAACATATTCTAGATCTGGAATGTAGATTGTAGCAAGTTATAAGAAGATGCATGCTTTTTGTTTCATCTGTGAAATTTATCTGTAATTGCTATGTTATTGTTCAGATCACTGATAAAGGTGTTAAATGGCATAACCAAAGATGAGCGGGGAAGGTCCCACAGAATCACACCCACTCAGCAGTGATTTTCCCATCGTTCTGTGGTGTGAGACTTCAGCCAGATAGTTCTCATGCTACTCAACATATGTCAATTCTGTATTGGCCTAATTTTTAATTATTTCGTGTTTCAGAAAGTAAACTGCTTTAGGAGGAGCCTTTCACAACTAAGTTGGTAATATTTCTTTAAAAAAAGTTGGAGAAGAAGTAATTTTTCTTAATGTTTTGCAGTTATTTGCTTAAAAGGTTTGTTAAACTAGCTTTCTTCCTGTTTTGTGAACCCTCCTTAAGGACTTTTAAGAATTACTGAAAATAAGTGTTAATTGTTCTGGAGACCCTTTGGCCAGCTCCCGTGGCATCCCTGCATGGATGCAGGCTAGCCAAACCTCAGACCTGCTGCTCTCATCGCATCTAATTTTACTGCTTGCTCTTTTAGCATCCTCCTGCATTACAATTGAAATAGAAAGCACAAAACTGTTTCACAATCCTTTGAAGTGACAGCTGGCCTTTTCCCAGTACAAAAAATACCCATGTATTAAATGTGCTTGCATTTGCTGCATTATTTTTGACGATTCCAGATAATAACATCTATTTCCATAAAATAGCGTACCAATTCCAAAAATATATTTTCTTTTCATCCTAAGATATTTTTAAAAGTATATGTTTAGTTTGATCTTACAGGTTGTAGATTTCCGTTTATATTTTTTTATGTTCTTCGGCTTATTGCCCTGTACCACTCATTCCTTCACTGTGTTGCAGTGCTTCTCACATAAGTTTAGAAAAAGAGTGAAACTGTGGTCTCAGGAGTTTTTGTTTATTAGTTGTGCAGTGTGACTCATACAGAGGACAAGGAAGTCACGGTAAGATGTCTCCTCATCCTGCCCAGCAGCGACACCTAACTGTTCTGAGTGCTCCAAGCCCAGGCACCAAGAGAAGGGGGCTGGAAACCATGGCTGGGCCATCTATGGAAGTAGCCACCTGCTTGTTAAAGTTTATGGTGAGAGAGACTTTCCACAATTTTTTTTGTCATCCGGAGCACACATGCAATGAAGCTGTGTGTTGATCAGAAAAAGAGGAGTGAAATTCTGACATTATAGAAAATGATTAAATGCACTAGTGAAAGACATTACCCCCTAGAGGTGCTTTTCCTCATTATTCACCGGAAGGGCAGTCTAGATGGCTTGTTCAAGCACTTAAACTTGTAAAGCTGGGTAAAATAATAAGGCATAATAAAGAGGTCACAGTTTTAATGTGTGAGTAACAGCCTTAGGAAACCTGTTTCTGCTGTATTTCACTGATGAGAGTTACCTGGTTTCTCATAATATGCAAGCTTGCCCTTAAACCTTTCCTTTGGTGGGATGATAGTGCTTCTTTGCTACCCAGTGGGTAGCAAAGGTGCAGTGGGAGCTTAGTGTCCTTATTGCTCACAGTTTGGGGGAACATTGTCAGAGAGCTCAAAAGTTATTGTGAGGGGAAGAGAGGAAAAGGGACTTCTGTTCTCTTTGGTTTGCTTGCCCCATTGCACAGGCTGTTTAGGTCTTAGTTCCTTAGAAGTACAGTGCTCATTTTTCATAATAATATAGAGGGAAGAATCTCATTTATATTTGGACAAATTTAGATAGCATGTTACCGGAGCAGTTTTGATGTGTTCTCTTTGAGCTCCTAGGAAATACGCCAAAGTGTATTGCCGATGCTGGAGACCGCAGAAGGATCTAATGTGGGCCAACAGGCAAGATCACAGGAGAAACCAGGTACAAAACATATAGTTTTAGGCTATGGGTGCAGTGAAAGGGAGAAAGAGATACGATAATGTAACGTTGTCATGAAGCTTTGTCTACAGTTTCAGTTAGAGCAGGTATGTCTGCATAAACTGTAAAATAGCTACTGAAGTGCTGCTAAGAGCTTACCCACAGTAGGGCAGAGCTCAGCCTTGGCTAGCAGCCTGAGTACTTATCTGGGATCTCTGGTGGATTTGCAGCTCGAGGTGTAAAGACCATGTTCCTTTGGCTGTCCTTGAGCTATCTCATTTGATGTCTTCTTTCTAACACTGAGGCATGTCTACCTCAGTTAGAGCCTGAGCTATGGATGGTGCCTTGTAGATGAAATGTATAGCTTATTTTTACAGAAAATCGTGGAGGACAAGCTATCTCCAAAACTATGCGTTTAAATTAAATGTATTTATGGAAGAAAAATCTGTCAACATCTATTACATATTAAGATACAGATACAACCTCCTATCTCAGGAAATCCTTATGCTGCGCATAAGGAAGCTGGGAGGATATATGGAGAAAACTATGACTGTAGGCATCCCCTTTGTTTCGTAGGCATCTGCTATCAGGAAGTCTGAGAGACAGTATACTTGGCTAGCTGGAGATGAGCCTGACTCAGCAGGGCTCATTCTTGTGTTCCATTTATTTATATAAGAAGTATGGGAAGGGAACTATTAACTCATTTCTAGTTTTGTGTGTGTTCCTTTGATTTTGAATTAGGAGCTGCTTTTCTTAACATTATCATAGAGAAAGATATCCTGTCAAGAAGATGAAGGGAGATTTTGAAATAACGTGCTTTGTTACCCCACCCAAGAGGCAGGGCAGGAGAACACAGTATCCTTTAGCGCTTGAACAGCAATGGCAAAACTATTTTCAAAACTGTATAAGTCGAAAAGAACTGCCGTATCTGAGTGGCAGTCTTGAGACTGATTAGAGGCATTTTGTCTTGGTTGTTAGAGGCCAATCTAAGCCTGACAATCGCAGAGAAAGCTAGTCAGTGTATCTGACAGCTTGTAGTTGATCTGATGCTTTACAGATGCATACGATGTGACAGCTGCAGTGAATCAGGTTATTAGAAAGACTTTCCTGCTCCCTAAAGCTTATTCCTTCCTGCCTTTCTGAGAAGGCAGAAAAAAAAGTGTAAAGCCTATCAGTGAGATAGAGAAGAGGGCCTGAAGCCAGCCAAACCAAAACATTTAGAGATTCTGCGAATGCTATGAAGATGAAAGGAATCCCCAAATAAAAAGGAGCCAGGGACATATTTAGCCAGAGCCTCTTTCCTAAATGGCCAATTAGATCTAAGCAGGAAGGTCTCCACACACATCTGAAAAGTTACTTTCCCTTATAAAGTAATGGCTTGTAATGTTATGAGTAAAGGGGTTACTTTATTCCCAGTTTTCTGTAACAGTGGGGATAAGACTGCAGCTTCTGCCCTCCTTGAACAAAAAAGGATGGCATTGACTAACTAGTGCATGGCCTCTGAGCCTGCATTCTTCAGGACAGCTGCAGCCCATATCCTAGGCATGGTAGCTACACAGCTCCTGCTGGCATGGAGTCCTGAGCACATTTTCTGTCCATGCTACAATCTGCACAGGTTCCTGAAAAAAACCATGAACTTTATGTATGAAACTGGTAACTGGTTTTATCAATGTCTTACAAGATACTTGCAGTCAATGGGGAAGCTCCCGAGATGTGCATGGGAGTTTGGCTGGGTATCACTCTAAAGAGAGCAGGGAAGAGGGCCTGAAAGAAAGAGGCCAAATGGCTTTTCCAGTTATTTTCCTTTCTCTGATCATACTGCAGAAATGCTCCTGTGTTAGAGGATGCAGAAGGGTCTAGCATGGACAAGCAGACAAGATCTGATGGGAAAGCAAGTACAAAACACATAGTTTTAGGCTACAGATGCAAAGAAAGAACTAAAATCATGGAGTATAAACACACAGAGCAAATTGCACTATGGCAGTTTGTATAGAAATGAGCAGGCTCAGTACTGAAAGTCAGGCAGCAAAAAGTTGTGATGGAAGTGTCCTCCAGATGGAAACTACTTTCGTGTTCGTTTGCTTCCAAAAACCAATAGAGGTGTGGGCTAAGCTGGTATGTGTCTATAGCCAGGGAGGCAAGTTCACAAATTTGATCCCCAGCATTTAGGTTCATTTCTGGGAAGTTTTGTTCTGCTCCATTCTGTTTAGGTTCTTATTCTCGTCTCATGTCAAGTAAACCCCCCAGCAATTACCTATGTTGTTCTGAAAAAAGATGTAAACTAGTGCTCCTTTTCTTCCCCATATGTCTTTAATAATATCAGTGTGTTCATAACTTGTGCATGGCATCACTAAAAAGAAAAAGAAAACACTCTATGTTCTGTAATGTCCCTCAAGCTGAACTGACCTAATTTCCTTGCATAGTTCACCTGTTTGCTTGCCTTCCTTCCTGCCCATGACCTTCCATAGCGTCACACCCCAGAGACAAGCTGTGTGCTGAGTGCTGCCTCTCCGTTGTATGCTGGAGAGGCATGATTGCGCAGTGTCTTTAGACTTCTGCTGCACTGTTTCCCAGTATTCATTACTACACAGGCTCTGGGCTTACTTCTCCCTTTCATCTGAATAGCCTTGTCTCTAACAGATATCTTTCATCTGGTAGGTCCCTCCAAACAACTGGTGTTTCCTTTATACTGCCATATTAACAACTGCCTCCTCTGAATGAATCTTTGTATCAGCTGTGTCTTCTTCGTAAGCACCTTGAGAGCCAGGATTCCAAAACCTTTGGTGCCCATGATAAGGGAGATATTTCAAAGTGATGTGTGATCCCCACCTAAATGACCAGTGCTTGTAGCAGCCAAGCTGCTGCCACTGCTGTCATCGCCGCTGCCATCATAACCACCATTAATTGTGGTACTCACCTTGCTAAGTTTACAGCAACTGTGATGAAGCTTAACAGAGAGATAAAGCTTTCTGTGATATTTGCGTGGCCGTTGCCTGCTGTAATATCCGTTGTCTTCTGTAGAAAAGTGTCTTTATTTCTAGCTCTGCTAAGGTGCAGCATGATGCACAAGAGCATCATCATCAGTAAGCTTTTTTAGGTGAAGGAACCTCTTTTCATGAAGGTGGGGAGTTTGGATTCTTTTGTATCTGTGTCCTGATCTTGGAATTTCCAAGGAGAAGTGGTAGATTACGCTTTTAAAAACCTGCTCCAATCTAGGGGGTACAAGACGGGTGTTTGAATCAAAACCAGACGTACGATATTGCAGTGAGGAGTTCTGCTGTGTGAAATATTCCTTCCTCTTGATCTGAGTTCCCTGATCTATACAGTTCTATGCAAGGTATGCCAAGGTGTTGTCACCTATGTTTTTGAGTGTTGTTTGAAGACAAAGCATTTTGTTTTGTCTGTCCTTTATCAGTAAGTTGGAGGTATGTAAGAAAGGATCTGTTTATATCCTCTGTTGTAGGTTGCTTACTTCCCCCCCCCCCTTTAAAAATATCTCTTATCTTTTGCCCAGATGCTAGAAGTGAAATAAATTGCTTTTCCATGGCTCATGTTCCAACACTTGTTAGCTTCTGTTTCTGACCCTCAAAGGCAAATACATTCCTTAAAAGTTCCTTTCCTTAAAAGTTAAATTCCTTTTGGTCTTCAATCCATAATGCTGGTATCTCTGCTAGCGGTCTAATCCTCAAGTCTGTATATCAGCAAAACTCCTGTTGTAGTTGAATGGGAGATTTTCTTGCATTAAGACTACTCAATTAGCAGCAAACCCATGAACCCCTCCCTCCCCCATTGTAACAAGACTCATAAAGCAGGGATCCTATCTGGATTCTTACCATAAATCTTTTTTAGTTTCTGTGCATAGAGCAATTCTGAAATTAAAATGGTTTAGTGATGCAGTTTGGAGATGCTGATTTTTGGTCTTTAATACAAACCTAATGAAAATGTACTATTGACTATGAGAAGGCTTCTCCACTAGAGTCTGGCTGTCTAGAGAACAGCTGGCTACAGCTGTAAAAATCCAGTCCTGCTCTGAAAATAGCTTGTACAGTGAGAACCCTTGCTTTATTTGCTAAAAATATGTTCAGCTGCAAAGCTAGCAGAAGGTTATAAAATTCAGCAACTTTATTACGAATGTGTTTGAGATGTCAATTTAGAGCTGTCCAGATTTGTGGCATCAGTGAAGTTACACTAGGATGAAGTTGGCCCACAGTTCCTAGCATTTGGAAACAAACTTGACAAGGAAAGAAGATTGATCCTAACCCACCACAACCCGGAGGGGATTATAACAATCTTTTAACAGAACATTTTCACAACCTGCCAAGACTTTGTTCCACCCCTACACAAGAGTAGGTACTCTTCATTATGCCTAAGCCTGTAGGCGCTATTTAGCATACAAAGTAAAATATCAAGCCTGTAAAGCAAATTCATAGCAAAATTCAGCAGCGGTTTTTGTCTTTGTCACGATCTTTAATGACATCTTTAATGAAAGCCAAGTGCTTTGTTAAAAACACCTTCCCTATTATAAATGACTGCTATTCCAGTTTTTTACTCTATCTCTTGGTTGTTAATATGGAGGCCTGGACCTCTTTTGTTTGAACGTGTGCTCTTCCTGCCTGAGAGTGGCTGTGGTGGGCACGTTCTGTCTCGTTGCATTTTAGCAGCTCTCCTGAAGTTTTAAAGTGTTTATCTTACACAGCTGAAAGTCTCCTCCTGTTTCATGAGCTCTGCACTGGAATGCAGTGGAAGAGACCCAGGGCCTGTGGCCACCCAGATTAGTGATTTTTGTAATAAGGTCCCTATATGGCTTTGTTAGAGACTTCAGCTCTGTCTCTGTCTGTCTCTGCTCCTTGTTTGGGAGGCTAGTGGGAGGAGAAGAGCTGAAAGGGCTATATAACCTCAGAGCTTTCAGATACACAGTGCACCATCCCAGAGCAGCTATCCCCAGCCAAGCACTGTTAGGGTAAGTGGCACTGAACCAACAGCAACTTGCAGATTTCTGGAGGACTTCTATTAAATATGGTCAAATGGAAGCTATTCAGGAGGATGTACTGTTGTGCTGTAGTCTGTTTATGCACTTCTTATTAGAGATGAATTGATCTGGGGTTGAATTGCTTGTAATATCTATATTGCATTGTCTTTATTTTCATAGCACTTTTGAAAGGGAAATAAAGTTCTACCTCATGATTTTGCCGATTCCACCAACACTCAAGCCATAATATGAAGATAAAGACTTTGTAATCGCACTACTGGAATTAAGGCTGCGCTCATGTTCAAATGAAATGGTGTGACCCTGGGGTATTAGTTTTGGACAGAACAGGATTCTGCAAGGGGTGGATTTGCATGCTGTGTAGTAGGGTTTCCTGCAGTTTTGCTTCGATGCTATTAGCTCAGTGTAAGGTGACGTGTTTAAGAAAGTGTTTTGGGGAATGTGACTGTAAAAAAGCTGGGAGGCGTGCGAAATCACTGTGAGGGTGACAGAGCATTGGAACAGGTTGCCCAGAGAGGTAGTGGAGTCTCCTTCGCTGGAGATATTCAAAACCCGTCTGGATGTGATCCTGGGCAGTATGCTCTAGGGGACCCTGCTTGAACAGGGAGGTTGGACTAGATGATCTCCAGAGGTCCCTTCCAACCTATACGATTCTGTGATTCTGTGATTCTGTGAAATAGCAGTATCTAATCCGATACAATGAGGATGCCTGTGTATTTCTCCTTGTCTCTATTTGCATGAAACTACTGTGCTGCAAAATGCCAAATGTTTCGTTAAGGGACAAGTTACACAAAGTATTTCTTGTGAGGCTGGAGTTCTTTGAATGGGTTGCTGTGGAGTTTGGTGAGATGATTGGTAATCTTTAGATGGAAACCAGGTAGAAAAAAGAGATTAAATACTGTATTAATTATTTGGGAGAAAAAATACCTTTATACCTTTTGGGATATAAATACCTTTATTCCACAGTAGTGAGTGAGATTTGCTGCTGTAGGATGTTGCTGTTGCATGCCTTGGCAGTCTAAAATCATTCAGCTTTGATTTCTTCAAATTTTTGTGCTTTATTACTAAATATGGTTTTCATTCTGTGTCCACTAAGCTCAGAAATGTAGCCTTTCCTGCCCCCTCCTTTTCCTTCCCCCAAGTGATTTTTGGCATTGCATTAGCTGCATTGGTTTGAGCAAACCCCCTGACCTTGAACTCTGTTCCAAAAACAGACGGTTCAAAAGCCTATTTCCTAATTAGGAAATGGTTTGTCTAAACCAGTCTGTTCATTCACGTTAGGTAACAATTGTACTCCATTGAGTAAATGTTTGAACTTAAAGAGCCCATTTTCTCAAGAGTTTAATAAATGGAAAAACTGCATCCTAGTCTCCGTTCCCAGTAACAACAATAAAATCCCTGGAGCGCTGCAGGTTAGGATTTCCCTATCTGCATCTCCTGTAAGCTATGCTCGTGCAGCCTGCAGAAGCAGTGCTGTGGCCGTGTCCCTGGGCTGCCTGACTGTGGAGTGACAGCATATCTCAAAAGGAGGATTTGGGAGAACTGTCCATGTTTCTTCTGTCTGTTGTAGAGGCTAAACAGGATTTCTGTATTCCCTTTCTCACCAGCCATGGCTCTCACTGACCCTGTCCCTGCTTCGTCCTGCACTTCCAGCATTCCTGTGGCAGACAATTTTAGTGACTGCCTGTGGAGTCAGCTGGATGTGTGGATCAAAGCTGTCTCCTTTAGCTGTTAACACATCGTAGTTTGCTGAACTCTACACGCAGAACTAGTCAAGGGATTCCCCTACCACACTATAAACTGTGGGCAAATAGTTCTCAAGTCTTGGTATTCAGTGATTGTTTCTATAACTGACTTTAATACAAACCCTTCAAAGCATTTTTATTACCCATGCTATCTTCTGTTGCCTGAGGAGGAAAACAATTTCTGTTTTACTGAGTCAGGGAGCCAACATAAATTGCTTTTCCATTTTACAAATGCAGTTTATTAGCTGGTTTGAAAAGGTGATGGAGCATATGCTATGGCCTGTTTTTAAAACACATACTTCCCTGGCTTGATTCTAAAGGCAGGATATTTTTTCTGAAAGGGTAGAGGATGGTTGGAAAAAGTGTTTTTTTTTTTTTTTTGTTTCAATTAGGAACCTCTCTTCTCTTTTGAAAGGGGAAAAGTAAATGTAATTGGCCATCTTGACACAGTGGGTTAATGTCTGTATCACTAAAATACTGACTAGTATTTAATGTGGTTTGTCTTGGGGAAGCCCAAAACTGAATGGCGAAGGTGAAGTGCTCTTACCTTTAAAGGCTTTCCACATGGGCCAGAACTCTGGTCAGGATGATAGAAAAGTGAGGCACCTTATGTTGAATCTGATGTAAAGGGATCTGTGTTTTTGCAGCTGTCAGTCCAGCATTCTTTTATTTATTTTCCCTGCCCCAGCAGTGGATTTTTTTGACCAAATTTAGATAAACATTTCCTATTTAGATAACGTTTGCTAATGGTCTGTCTCTCCATGCAGCAGGACTGGAAGTCTCCTTTGGAGTCCCCTTGAATTCAAGCTCTCATGTGTACACCCCTCCTGCTGACATGGTCAAAAACTCTTACACTTTCAAAAGGAAGCTTCTTCCCTCCTGTGCCCCACCGGCCTTGTTCCCGCCAAACCAGGGCCATAGCTCTCCTTGCTAGTCCTGGTCCCTTTTATACAGCAATCTCTGTCTTCAAGAAGAGTGGTTCTGGTACCTTGGGTGTGTTTTTTATTCTTTTCCTGCTGTTTTTGTAGGGCTGTTTCCTCTCAGGAGGGCCTGAGGACATTAACATAGAAGATGTGCGAGGAAGAGGACAGCACTGCCCTTGTTTGTGACAACGGCTCGGGGCTTTGTAAAGCTGGCTTTGCTGGGGATGATGCTCCAAGAGCAGTTTTCCCTTCCATTGTAGGTCGTCCCAGGCACCAGGTAATGAACTGGTTTGATTATTCCATATTGGGCTTCTAGAAGGCCTTGCTGCCCTGTGCCCAGGTCTCCATCCCAGATTCACCCTCTCCTGTGTCTGGGGCTAGCCCAGTCCTGAGCAGTCTATGTAATACAGTGTCTCCAGGCAAAATGAGTCCAGCAGTGTACTCATCTGAGTCCAACCACGTCTTTTTCCTTGGCAACAGAATCCTAAAATTTTTCATTCCCCTCTATACCCTCTTCTCCCTGCCCTTTAATTTTAGGTCACCTGGAGAATTTGTTGAGTAAAGCTAGTTTAAAAGACAAACAAGCCGTACAGAGAAGTATCTGGAAAATTTGACTACCATAAAAGTTGATGATAGATGATGTGGAGAGAATAAGGAAGGAAGGAGGTTTTTTCAGTTGGCTTTCTGTTGGTTTTTCTTCCAGACTTGATTCATTTAGCTGTATCGCAAATGAGCACTTGTCTAGAGTTGAGTTTCTGTAGCTTCAAGGTTAGCAGTGGAGTCTATGATGCATTCCAGCCTATTTTATTAGTTTACAAAATCCTGAGACATTAAATGTAGAGAGTTTTGAGCCAGATCATCATTAGCATGAACAAGAGGAGTTTGACTAGGCCACAAAAAATGAAATTGGCTGCTCTGTTTTAAGATCCACCTATTGTTTCTATGCCATCCAAGGACCTGGTGAAATGAAAACAGGTTAACTGGTTTTAATATGGGTGGAACTTATAAACGTAGGAAGTACATTTTAAGCTCTTCAGGGTAGGAGATATGTGTGCCTTTCAGTATAGGACCTAGGGCAGGAGGTGTAACTGAGGCCTCTGGGCATTACCATAATTAAAAAAATAATCAAATACCATTTTCTGTAGACAGTGTGAATGGTATTAATTATTCAAAAAAAATCCACACAGTCACGATGGGAAAAAAATACTGCAGATTTCTAGAACCTCTCCTGACCACAAATCACAGGTGGCATTAGACCCCTGATGGAAAGATCATCCTATTATAAATCATCCTATTATAAATTGCCTCTTTTCAAGACAGGACAATTTAGAGAAGACCAGGTTTGGAGCACGTAATGACTAAATTCTGATAAGAGCATAATGCAGTTAAAGCATCCTCGTATACATTTATTTTTGCTAGTATTTCTGACTGTCATGTAGTAACAGACTACAGCATAGCCAAAGCAGTTTTTGACTTCTGGTCCATGCACCACTACAGGATCCACAAAAGTACCTAAAATGAAGCCTATAGCAGTAGATTTAAATTGCTTTTTATCTCCAAGGACAATATGTTAGTGTTCAAAAATAAAACAAGATTAAGAAACACTGAAATTCAAACTTTGGGAAATGTAAAGTGTATATTGCTTACTCCTGACTGTTAGAAGGCACAACTTTGCTTTCCACTTTAACTCCACTTTATGATACTTTAGCGGACGGTTCATCCCTAAACAATAACGATCATTAAGACAACCCTCTTGTTCTGCATTATCTTGATGAATTTAACATTGCACTTGTGCTGCTTGCTTAAATGGTAGTACAAGCATGAACTCCAGAGGTTTAAGTTAACTAAAAATCTAATTTTGGAAATTGAAGAACAATAAGTAATTCTGCAGTCATTAGCTTTTGTAAAGTATTTTGTAACTACTGTCATTGGCAACTGGGGCTATCTCACAGCTAATGTTTTAACTACTTTGCTACACCTCTTCCTGAGAGACTAACTCCATTTGTGTCATTTTATAGGGCGTGATGGTTGGCATGGGTCAAAAAGACAGCTATGTAGGCGATGAGGCTCAAAGCAAGAGAGGAATCCTGACCTTGAAGTACCCCATAGAACATGGCATCATTACAAACTGGGATGACATGGAGAAGGTATTTCAGCATTGAAAAAATGATGTTTATCACTGGTAAACAGGCCTAGTTGAACCTCATGTTCACAGATTACCCAGGAAACCGTAGATCAAAGTGTCATGCTATCAAATATAGTTTAGTCAGAAGCATGTTAACAACTGAAGCCAGACTAGCAAAGGTTAACATGCATCTAAAGCTGAAGTATCACTAGGAATACATCAAAATAGTTGTTAGGCATTTTCTTCCTCCAGTCTGAGCTATACGTCTTTGCTAACTATTGTAAAGCAAAAAGTAGGAATATCCTCAATTTGCTAGTGAGGAAATGGAATTGAAGAAGGTATCTCTGTTCTTGCAAAACTCTGAAGCATGTCTGTAATTTTGATGTGAAAGGCACTGTTGACAGAGGTACGTTTTAACATTTGAAAGACTGGCAATACTAAAATGAAATGAATCTATTTCAGATATGATATTTGGATGAAAGGCTTCCAGAGCCATGTGTCTTGTGATAGGCTTTACTGCTGAAATAAATAAGATGGTATCTCTAGTTAATGTTGTGCTGTGGAACTAGAGCTGTTCAGAATGGTCAGGGCAGCACAACACACTGCAGAAGAGTGTGGAGCCACATAGGACTTACTGATTCTCATAGCATCATAGGCTTTGTTCGGGAAGATAGCAAAATCTTTCAGAGGCGTAACCAACAAACTACTCTGCAATCGCCACCAGCTTGAAAGCAAGTTTAACAAACTTGTTTTGATATTTAGAAACTCTCATATGGTTTACTTCTTACTGGTGTGTTAACTTCCTCGTTGCAGCACTCTTGGCCTGTTTTTTATGACTGATAAGAATATGAGTTAGCAATGAGGAGGTGATAAACATATGTTGACTTTTAGCCCCACAAAACATTTGCTTTAATTTCTTATTATGAATTCTTGGCCTGATCTCTACAAACCAAAAGGAACTGTCTTCAACAGACCCATCATCTGTAGAACTCTACTGCCGGAGTCTCTGCATGTTCTCGAATAAACATCTTTTAAGGGATGCTGGGAAACTGTTTCACTTCCAGTCAGTATTGATATTGCTTCTTGAGAGTTTGTTTAAAAAGATGGAAAACAAAATGCATTTGTACACTTGCATCCTAATGCTATTGGCTCATGGATTTTCATTTTTTTACCTGAAATAAGACAGTTCCCTTGATGTATGTAAATCAGCAGAAGGCCAGGATGGAGAAAAAGAATCCAGACAGAACCAGGATTCACTCACATTTTCATATTATATTTGAAGAGCAAGGTAGAGTGAAATAGCCTTGCTGCAATCAAATCTGTCCTGCTCTGTCTCTTCTACTGTAAGAATAGTATATTTATTTTCATTAACCTATGTGTCTTTTAAAAAGTAATACATTACTAGCAGTAAAACCTGAGGATAGTGATTTTCTTTTTCCAGTCACTTTCGTAATCTCTATGAAGGCAGTAAGACCAACTGCATGTGAAACATCAGTAACCTCTCTCTAGTAGGCAGTGGAATGCTGGAGTACAATACCTGGCTGGAAGTGATTTTGAGCTGTTGGTGATGGTGTTTCTTTCCTTTGGCTTCTGCCATTGTCCGCAGATCTGGCATCACTCTTTCTATAATGAGCTCCGTGTTGCACCTGAAGAACATCCGACTCTGCTGACTGAAGCACCGCTGAATCCCAAAGCCAATCGAGAGAAAATGACCCAGGTAAGCTCATGCTACAGAATAATTCCAGTTCTGTGAATTCAGC